AATTAGGTATGCACCAATACCACTTTTTTTCATACTTATACTAATACCTGTGATTTAAGTATGTTCTGGTAACAAGAACTTTTTGATACCGGTGTTTATCTATAAGCTGTGTGCCTCAATGTGTCGAAGTGACCAGAGTATTTTTTTAAGCAAAAGCTATAAGTATTGCCTTAACATGGCTTTCCCAACATAAATTGTAACAAATAAATACATAGCTATTAATGTACTGAACTGGGTTCGGATATCAGATCACCGAATTTAAATGACAGCCAATAGTCAAACAGTATCCTTGCTTATCGAATGCAAACGTGAAGGCTTTCTCTAGTTGATATAGGGTCAATAACCCTATTTAACCTGACCTCCTGTTGTGATAGATTAACAGAAATGTATTGAAATAAAAATCATCAAGATAATTACGTTAAAAATATACAAGTAGAAAGATTATCCAGTCTCCATAATAGAGGAAACGCAGTGGAGGGTTGTTTTTCATTTGACTGTATGCTACATGACAGTAAAATACAGAACACAACTTAAATGTAAATTGGTGGCTTTATCCTATTGTTGGCTTCTGGGCCCACCTGTGGTCTGTGGTGTGAAATGTAGATCTGAAGCCGTATTGTCTCATCTTAAACAGTATCGTTTTTAGCATGTTATAATGCATATATTGTGTAAAGTGACTGACATGCTTAGAAATCCAATGCAACACTGAATAAGCCTGTATGTCTTTCTGATAGTTGGGTGTGGACAGTTCCATCAACCCTGCAGTCATATGTGGTACACTCCAATCATTTATTGCAATACCTTTGGCTGTAACAACATTGGCTGCAACGGCACAAAACAGGAAGTATATCCTCAAGAGGGAGTCCAAAATATTTGATTTGAGTCATTTGAAATTAAAACTTTTAGGTAGCTTAGTCAAGCAGAGGTAGTGATGTCAGTGATTTGCCAGTAACATTTAAGGCACATTATACCAGCAGAACAACACATTTGTTCAGCTCCACTGTCTTCCATCAGCTGTGAGGGGTTAGCGGTGGTAAAGAGTGAGCTCCAGTGAGGCTTGTGGTGACTTCAAGCTGGGCAGGTCAGCGTAAAACATCTATGAATGCCAGATGCTCCCTGACCTAAAAAATCAGAAAACACATGTCTGCTAAGGTGTGCCTCTTCCACGAAACCCTGCGCTCTGTTTTCTCTTCCTCTTTTAAGACCCAGCATGAGATACCTTAACTGTAGCTTTTAAAATGGCTTTACCACTTGTTCTGTGTTTTATTTTTCTCTGGTAGATGACATTTGAATGTTCATCACAACACCGCAGAGAGGACAGCTAATAGATTGTGCAAACGTGTGTGTGGACAGTTTTGGGTCAAAGTTTTGGTCAGGTCTATGCTTCAGTGCAGAGCAGACTTCCTGTGTTAGACCAAAATATTATCTGATATCACCTGAGTTCTGGGTAATGGAAACCTCTCACTGTTGCATGAGTTGATCAACGCCCAATGCACTGAAGTGATCCACCAAGCCCCATCAATTTCTGTCCATGTTCATCCATGTCAGATGCATGCCAAGGCCACTCTGTGTCTGAGGGCTGTTTCCTGAACTGAACAGTGAGACTGCTATGTCTTTATGTAGTTGTAGTTGCACTACAGTATATCACGCTGTATTAAGGGGGTTTGACAAAGTAGACTTTTTATTTATGGCCCTTCTCACTCTCCGTCTGGCACCTCTCTCCTCCCTGCTTGGCATTCCCTTTTCTGCAGCTGCACTGCTGTTTACCAAGTCCAAACACTTGCAGTTAAGTGAGAGTGGAAAAACATGTTGATGACCTCCAACCTAATCCCAAAAAATAAAAATGGTATCCTGTGGAAGTTCCCCCAACAGAAACAAAGGCTGTGAATGTTGCAGACACCTGCACTTCAGTCAGTGTTTTAGTCCAAATGAGAAAGGAGTTTTGGGGGTTCCTCAACAGTCAACAAGTCTATATATATGCAGAAACTAGTCTGTGTTTCTCCGAGGTTGGCAGTTACAGTGTTGTATGCCTGTTACTGCCAGTGTTAAATGTAGGCCTTGCAAAAATCTGAATGCTGAACTGATACTGATTAGCATTGAAAGAAGTGTCAAATAAATATATAACCTAACCAAGTAGTTGTGTTTTGAAAATCCACCGTTTTACAATGTAAACATCATTTTTAAAACTGCAAGCGTTACGTTAAAACTACTATGCTAGGAAACGTTCCTGTAGGTTGTATTATTGTTGAAACAAATGACTTATTTGGTCGTATGGGTCGGAGGACTTGTTGCCTTCAATTGATCAGATCTACAGTATAAGGTCTTCCCTTGGAGGGGTCATTCTTACTTTTTCGTTAAAGGTGTGGTAGGTAATTCTCTTCAGAAACACTTGTTATATTCCATGGAATGCTCTTAACATCCCGATAGCAATGAATATATGAAATGCTTTGACAATAAATACATTAAAAAAATTCATCTGTGGAAGCCGTGGCGCTGTAAAAAGCACGACCAATCATCTGAGCCGGCTAAAGTAACTGGATGGCCTAACTGCCTGTCAGCCTTCCATCTCGTGCACAAACTTATCTCGTGCCCTCATTGGTCATGTGCGCGTTCGTGTGTGTTGGAGGAGGGGCTCTGTGAGGAAGCCTGAAGGAAGGGGCAGATTTTTTTCGGCTGCGTACTTTCAAATTGTAGTGCACTCGATAGCAGCTGCTCCCATGGTGTTGCTCGCATAGTTAGCTTTTTTCCTTTAACGTGTGTTAATACATCAAATAGAAGCTTTGTTTTAGCCATGTTGTGGTATCAAGTCAAATCAGTGTTATGGTCAGTTATGCTAGAGGAGTGGTTTGAGAAGTTTGTTTCATTTTTATTGTCATTTTTATTTATTGTCTAGTAAAGTTGAAATCTTTTGTAACAGTTGACATTTCTTTAAAGATGTTCTAAGTGTCTTCCATTTTGAAAGTATGTTGCATATACTGGCAAACATTAGCAGTTCCATTTTCGTAATGAATGTTGATGTTTCAGTTCCTTATATATTGTTTAGAGTTTCATTATCCATCACAACAGTGAGTGTGTTTCGTGTTGCCAAGCAGCTGCTGTCTTCATTCTGTGCCCTGATACTACCCTTTCTGGCTGCTTTGTAAAAGGAAGTGAAAGACTATCACCTAACCACCCATCTGTGCACAAATAGTGATGTGAAAACATGTACTATGAAAGGCTAATGTTAGAAAGGTGATAGTGTCTAAAGCTAAATGTGTGTGTGTTTTCAGAAAAGAGGGCAGAAATGAAAATGCCTGATAGTTAGAAAGAGCTGCTGCTCTTTACAAGCCTCAGTTCTCTAACACCAAACTGCTTTAGCAGAACTTGTTCTTCCTACTCGCTGCACAAGCTTCATAACCACATTTTTCTTAGACTTATTAAGAAAAACACCACCATGTCTCACACTATAGAACTACAAGTGGTTAGAAGCAGTATTTAGAACATCTACTCAGAATTTAGGAAATGGTTGGTCTCTGCCTTGACCATTGGAGCTGATATAATTAGACACAGTGTTGAAACAGGAAGAAGTCTCTACAAATGAAAAGCTGATGTCTTACTAATAACTTAGTCATTAACTGAGTCACACACATACGTCCACTCATCACACCAGACACTGCTGTCATCATAAAGTACATTATAACAGTGACGATATCTATATCTATAATATGCTAAGTTATGGCGCATTTCGACTGCAGCGCGGAGCACGGTTTAAGCGTGCCATGACAAACCCGGCCCGTTTTTTGTTGCGTTTCCACTAGGGGTACCTTTTCACAGTTTTTCTGGCCCTCCAAAATCGTGGTTCTTTCTGGGCCAACAACCGGGCTGAATATGCTAAACTAGTGACGTGAGTGGCTATAACTACAACACAATGAACATATTTGACCGTGATTTAATTGTAATACACGTTTCTAAATGATGCCGAAGTAACAACACACTGATACCGGTTAGTAAAAACCATGAATTAATGCTTTGACAAGTCTGCAGACAGACGGCAGGCGAAAAAACTTTTAAAATGCGTGTTTTCTAAATGGAGCTTGGCTAAGCTAACGTTATATATGCTCTGACCGTCCACACTCACAACAACGGCCTACAGACACAAATAAACCAGTGACTGTATTCTCCATGACACAGGCAGTCTGTGGTTTGTACTTGTTTAACTTTTGTCTAGTTTCTGAACAGATATGAGGAGCTGTGAGCTCTGAGCGCTAACAGCTAACGGCTGATGTTTGGTTTTGTGGTTCGCATTGAAGATGACTTCACGGCTCCGCCTACACTGCGTTATTATAGTTACTACCCCAGCTAATAAACTGTAATGGAAACGCAGCATAAAGTGAGCCTGGCCTACCAAGGCCTAACTATACCGTACTAAGCCGTGCGAGGCCCTGCAGTGAAAAAGCGCCATTAGTTCATATTCCTAAATAGATTTTGGGGCTCTATATGGAGGCCAAAATAAAAATTATTTCCCTGAGGCACTATCGAAAACTACAATTTAGTAAAATAAATATCCTTTAATAAATCTTATACCATCATAAATATATTTCAGTTCTACTTTTTACTTTGTTTATCTCACTTACAGAAAAAGAAAGACAGCATGAATCATCAAAAACTCTCATGACATTGAAACACAAATTAAACAAACCTGACATTTTAGGAAAGGGGCTATGCAACAGTTACCACACAATGTGTTCATACAATGTTGTATTTTTGAAATAATTTTCTATCACAACACTATGTTGTATTTTAGCATTACAGTAAAAACATTGGACTACACTTAAATATCATTTTATTTATCACAATATATCGTCATTGCAATATTCAACACGTTAACATATACTTTACTCATATAGTATAGCGCCTATACTGTAGCTAACCATACAGATAAGACTAGAGTCCTTTCCTATACAGACATAATGTTATTCTGTATCCTGTCCTAAATGTGTTCTCCTTCCTCCATCATGCAGAGTGCAAAAGAGGAGCCAGCCCGGAGAAAAGAGCCCAAGTTCCTGGGTAAGGAGGGCTGGGTGAAGAAGGCCCCCGGCAGACTGTTGGCCAGCTACAAGGAGCGCTACGTCCATGTGGAGAAGACGGAGATCGTGGTGTATGAAAATGAGGTACACCACTGTTATGTCTCCTACTCATTCCACTTTTTCACTAAATTGCACCATTTTACAGTACAGAGTTATATAACTGTCATATTCAGAGCATTTTATAGTATATATTTCATTATGAACATACTTAACATGCAATCAAATCAGCTTACAAGCACTTTTATTTATAGTTTAGTGCACCATAATGAATTGAAATTCCATGGTCATTATGAAAATATTATAAGATTTTCATAATGACCATGGAATTTCAATTAATTACAACCTGTTATACTACAAGTGTTAATTTTTTGCTTTAAGTCAAATGAAAAAAAGGTATTATTGACTGTTAACGGTCAGTGAGGGATCACCAATTCTGAAGTAATATGAGACATTACGTTATGAGGAAATGTAAAATGCTTTGTAATATGTTATGATTGTTGAAATAGAGCCTTTTGGGTAATTGTGTGCTTACAACTATAATTAAACAGCTAATGTATTACAGACAAGGGCATCCTAGAATATGTTACATCACACTCTGTTCTGCATTCACATATCACAGAAAGCTCTCAAAGATAATACAGTCACAGAGTTATTCAGAATAAAAACCTACATCACATATGCTATCTCATTATCATGAATCTATATTGGTCACCAGGACAACAGTGAGCAGGTTGTTTGTTTTTTTGCGATATTTGTTGATATAAAAAAAATAAAAAAAGATGTCGCCTTATTTGTCTTCTATTTGAAATGACAGATTTGCAGATGATTGACTGGTAAATGTGTGTTTCAGGATCTGAAGAACTGCTTAGAGAGGCTTGACCTGGAGAACTATGATAAATGTCACGAATTAAAGAGTCCCTTCAAGAAGAAGCACAGACTGATACTGATCCGCTCCTCCAAGCCCGGAAATAAGGTGAGCTGAGAGAGCCTTGTGTGGAAAATAGAGCTCTGTGTTTACAGTAGGCCATGGTGAGAGTGCTTAGTGACATACAGACATCCAGCAGGTCACCCTTGAAAAAGAGATCAATGATCTCAATGGGATTCACCTGCATAAATAAAGGTTTGAAATTAAATGAAAATGACAGAAGCTTCAACTGTCAGGTTTACAAGAAACTAAACTAACATAAGGAAGAAAGGAAGTGAGAGTGATAAACATTCTCCATGGTCATTATGAAAATATTATAAGATTTTCATAATGACCATGTGTTTTGGTCTAGGACCAAAACACATGCTGCGTTTGTCACGCCCTATTTTAAGTTTTAAAACACCACAAAATGATTTAGCTAAAGGGCAACTTCCTGTAAGATCTGGTTGGCTTTAACACGCCCTCTACTAACCCTGACAGTTGTGGTAACAGGATGTGTACAAAAACTGACTTCTGCAAACAGAAGTTGGAAATGATGAAGTTTAGTCACAAGCTTGTTGTGATGAGATTCACTGTCCGTCAATTCAACACACAGTGTAAGAAAATGACTCCTGGCAGGAAGTAAAAGCACTTCTAATAAAATCAGAAAACATTTGACTAGGTTTCAACTTTAAAGGTGCACTAATACATATGTTATGTTAACAGTGGATCAAATTGGAGCTGTGATGTGAATGGAGTGGCTCATATTAACAAACAGGAAAATATAATTTGACAATTCTCCTCAGCTCTACAAATTGTTATACTGTTTTGTCCCATTAGTCTTTGTTTTATCAAAAATAAAAGTCAGATACACCCACCATTCATTACCTACCCAACACACATGTCAACAAGCTGGTGGACATAGTGGAGCATTAAGCAGCTAAATATATTTCTCTAAGGAGTTGGAGGAGACCAAAAGAGTTAAAAGAAAAGGAGTATTGATCACAAACTAGAAAGAGTGCTGTCTCCTTCTCCTATCACAAAAAAGAAGAAGAATCACACTTAAATGTTCCTCCTAACTCCATTTCAGACATAATGACGGAAAATATAACAAGAAAAAAAGGGATTTGTTCATCTCGTATCATACCTAACTTAAGTGGAACATGATTTATCGAGGTATGGAAGTAATTCAGAATCAGACCAATCTTTCTTTATGGGTGGATGCTTTTGAGGCCACAACAATTTCAAAAATATTGCAGACAAGGTAACAGACAAGGTAACAAAGCAAATCCTCCAAAAAACCTCTGGTAATACTGAAGCAGGAGTTGATCTACATTTGGCCGTCAAATGTAGGGAGGAGTCATCAATCTATGACAGTATAAAACAGTCAATAAAATAGGTGTTTTTCATAGGTGTTCATAAGTCTTTAGATGTGTATTTGAGATAGCCAGTCCTTAAAGTGTGCAGTTTCTTTTAAGCACAGTTTCAATGAAGCAGTGTGTTGTGAGATGTTGCCACTTCCTCTTTGAGGTCAGCTTTCAGTTTTGTGTGCTGGCTCTAACAGAGACACCTCTCAGTCTAAGACTGGAGCCACACGAGAATGGTAACATAAACAAACCGAATTCGATATCAAAAAAGTCTTCCGTCCACTCCACACGCAATAGGCACCAGAAACGTGTCCATTCACACGAGACCACTCGAAAGCGCTGGAGATGCTGTAGTACATATGCCGGGCCTGTAAGTGGCGCTGTACTTCTGCCACAAAATACACCAAAAGCAGTGAAGAAGACTTCCTGCGCATGGTTGCCATGGTTGCCCTTCTGTTATTCTCCGCGGTGGACACTCTGGCTCTTTTTCTCCCTCCCCGATGCAAGCGTGTGCTCCTGCTGTAAATCTCTCCGGTAGTCCACCAGCAGATGAAAAACACCCACCTCTCCGCCTCTTCCAAGGGACGAGGGAACCATGCGGCAGAGTTTCCGTTAGATTTTTTTTTTCCGCCGGTCAACATGTCCGTTAAAGTTTCAATCTTCCGGATAAAATTAGAAAAGTGCCAGTCAGAGGTCTTCTTTGTTATTTATTGAGCTTTAAAACAAATTGATACTCTATATAATAATATAAGAATAATAAATGGAGCCTCTCTTTTCCTCCCCGTCTTCTGACAGCCCAGCAGCTGATCTCTGAGCAGGAGAGGTGGGGAGAGGCGGGGCTATTGCGTCATCGTTATCAGGAAATGATCGTATAGGGCGTAGACACAGAGCCGTTTGCCCCCCCAGAGCGTTTCGTCCGCAGATCTACCCACCTTGGGACCCGTTTTCGTTATCGTTTCCTGCGTTTCCATGTCGGCCTCGTGTGGCCGAACCGTCTTCATCAGTGGTTCTCAACCTTTTTACACCAAGTACCACCTGAGAAAATAGTTGTCTCTTCGAGTACCACTCTATGACCAATGTTAAAATACAGTCTATGCACAGTTCATGCAGGACTCGGAGGCAAATGTATTGATAATAACATTATTTATTGTCTCTCTCTCTCTCTACAAGTGAGAATATAAAGAACAAAATAATAACTTATTCTCACACAACAAATGTCAACTGTACACACATGTCATTTCCTGGACCCATACCAACATTTGAATGTAGGCCTCCTGCAACCACCTACATTGTAACAGAAAATGTCCTATTGGGAATTCAGTTTCACAATAATAATGAAGCCTCCAGGAGCAGATGAGCTCATCTTCAGTCTGCTGATGTTTTCTATTGCCATTTCTGTGGAGGCAAAGTAAAAATGAAAAGAAAAAAGATAACAATTAAGGACAAGTGTGTGCTTTTTCAGCTTTTCACCTCGGTCACAGCCTTCTCTCCATTCTCTGCGCAAATGCCTTCTTCCTGAGTCACTTCTCTCCTCCATCACAGCAGCTGTGCGTTGCTGGCGGAGCCTGCGCTTGTGCTCGGTTGATGACTGTCCTCCTCTTTATTCACTTGTTCACTTTCGCTGGTAATATTCTCCTCTGTACCTCTCTTCCGAATACCTCCCGTTTTGAGCCACGTTTTTAACATCATTCAGCTTTCTTCTTTCTTTAGCTTGCTTACAACGTTTGCTAATCGTTCGCCGGTAGTATGGTCGTCATTAGCAACGCCAGAAATAAATAAAAAACATGTTTTTGTTTCTAAATCTAAAAACAACAATAGCCTATTAGAAATGATTTAAACCACAGTTTCAATTATCTCAAGCTTATTTTCATTCGTTGTAGTATTTTGATAGTATGATTTATTTATTAATTAATGTTATTCAATCAAGCCTCAAACTGATGGCACTTGTCCCTATAGCATGTTTTAAATTGAAGTTGTCTGAGGTCCTTACCACCAGCTGCTCTTGCAGTAATAAGTAGTGTACCTTATAGGGGTGTAACGGTATCCGTATTCGTCCCGTACCGTCACGGTTCGGACGTCACGGTTCGGCACATGCAGTCACACGACGAATACGCCTTTTTTTTACGAGTGGGAAAAAAGGTCTGTCATTCAGGGCAGTATCCACTACACTATATATAATCCAGGGGGCGGTATTGCGCCTAAAAGCTGTTTGCCAGCCGCCCTTAAACAACAAATGAAGAACAAGAAGAAAACACAACAAAACGAACAAAATACAAGAAGAAGAAAAGTTAGTATGGCGATTTCAGATAACACACAGGAGCTAGAACCCACCTGCTTCTTTTAAATCAGCTGTGTGGGAACATTTCGGGTTCCCTGTGGACTACAATAACGATGAAGTGCGCGAGTGGTGGATCGGACGAGGACGGTGTGTCGGCGTTGTTCGATAGCAGTGCGGTATGCTAATGGTAACACACGCCAAACATGCTAAATCATATCAGAAGGCATCACCCAGATTTGCCAATCACCGGAGCAAAAGACAGCAGCAGTTCAACAGCTGATCCCCGCTGTTTTTAAGAAGACAATAGGCATGAAAGCCGTGAGACCAAAATAAATAACGGAAGCTTTTGGCATAATGTTTTTCAACGGCTATGCGCTCTTGAAACACTTTCTTATTATTTATGATGTAATATTTTCAAGACATTTTTTAGTTTTACAGCTTGATGAAACCTTTTTGTTTGACATCAGCCATTATAGATAATATGGCCATCTGAGTGTGTATGGTTTGTTTTTAACTGTTTAATACAGTTAATTATTCAAAATGTCAGAGTTCCTTATTTTTAAACTGACACTTGCACTACTGTTCAAAAATAAATAACAACAAACCTGGAATTATGCATTTGGGACTTTTTTTTGCTTTTTCTTGTTGTACCGAACCGTGACCCCCAAACCGAGGTACGAACCGAACCGTGACTTCTGTGAACCGTTACACCCCTAGTACCTTACTGTCCCAAATGTGCTCAATGTAGTGACTGCTTTTCGTCTTTTGTTTACTTAGTTGTGTTTTCTGTATTTTACATGTCTGTGTTATGTGTAAAGGTTAAATCAAATAAAAAATAAATTAAAAAATATATATTTTTAAATATTTGTTGTGTCAGATTTATCCGCGTACCACTAGCGGGAGCTGGCGTACCACCAGTGGTACACGTACCACAGGTTGAGAACCACTGGTCTACATGATAGAGAACTGTAGCGGATACGACTGTTACCGTTCTCGTGTGGCTGCAGCATAAGGTGTGAGCCCTTTAGCTACAAATCCCCAGCCTCTAACTTGTACACACTGCTGCCCACACACAGTAATGTAGAACTGTTTCCATCTGCTGAGATGATGAAGTACTCCACTATCAAGATCCATAAATTCAGAATAAGATTTAGGTTACAGATTAAACATTAATATCTTTGATATGAAGACAATATTTCCGTAATAAAGTAATAGAATGAACATTGGACTAACATTTGCTAGATGGCCATGAGCATTAATGGTTTATGACCTCTAGTTGCTGCTATTACTTCTCTATGTGTTGTCCCAGATTGTCTTGGCAGCCTTATGAAAGCCGAAAATAAACCAAGAGTTTTAATTTTACCTACATTTTCTGAACAAAGGGAAGTAAAAAAAAAAAAGGGAAATGTAGTTACAAAAGATTG